CCCCCCGGGGGAATATCCAGTGAGTGCAGGGTTTTTTTTTTTTCTTCCTCAAAGAGCTGGGAGCTGGGGCTGGGCGGGGCTTGTAGAGCGGGTCAGGGATGGAACCTGCGTGATTCAGAGATTCAGCTGATTTTGGCAGCAGCTGCATCTCCAAATCAGATTTGGCCAAATTGATTCAAGACATTGATTCAAATCACCGAGTTGAATCACTGTCCCCCAATCGGCCGAATCCGAAGCAAATACTAGCTGCTTCACACAGGCCTACCAGGAAGTCCTTTTCCAGCATCTTGGGATCCCTTTAGAGCCAGGGTTTGAAATACAGGAGGGATTCAGGGGGGCTGAGACCCCCCCCCATAAGAGACAAGAGCCCCCAACCCACCCCGCACCTTTCTAAGCAGCTCAGGCAGCAGTGGCTCCTTCTGGCTGCCACCGCCACAGACCCCACCCCGCAAGGGCCAGAATGCAATTTGAACACTCTTTTATAGCACTCCACTTTTTATTGAACATAAATGAGCAGGAAAGGATCCACGATTTTACCTTTTGCCTTTTTTTGGTTCCTGGTAAGTCTTGTCCTTTTCTCACTTGTGCTCTGTGTCCCTGTAGCATTTTGTTAACACCTGATGTGGCCTTGCCTCCAGTTGATGTCAGTGGGAGTTTTTGATGTGCCCAGGCTTTCAACCTTGAAGGGTAGAGAAACTAATAATATAAGAACAATAATATACTGATGTTTTTCCCCCCCAATAGAACCCAAAACACTTTAGCAAAACTTACTTAAACAACAATCACTTCACTAACCAGCAGCCTGCTGCCACTTTGAGGATAAATTGCAACAGTGACAGAGTTTAGAATAGGAAACAAAGAAGGAAGCTACATACACTTCAAACTGGGGCAGAGAATTGGGGTGAGCATTTCAAATTTAAACAAGGACACTGAGGTTAATGGGTTTTTTTTGCCTGGGAGCAGGAGAGGCTGTTCAGTTATTGCAACATGGCAAGGAATCTTAGGGCTTCTCTCTCATCTGAAAAGGCTTCAGATCTGGCTAGATTTTCAAAAGCCTTCCAAAAGCAGCAGTGGTGACTCCTATTATGATATTTGTGCCTGATTTTTTTTAAGGGTATAATCACCTTTCTGGTTTGAAATTCAGACCACTTAGTGCCTACACCAGAGACTGAAATCTTTGAAAAAAGCTGGCCTCAAAGGCTGCAAAATGTGGGTGCCATTCTGAAATTAATCCTATTTGCAAACCCCATTAATATGAGCTTTTTAAAGTGGCACTCAGGCTAGCATTGGAGAGCGTCCCTGAGAGAAACAGCTTGGGCCAATAAGGTAATTAAAGTTTCATAGTTGGTAGGGTCGGAAGGGACCTGAGGAGATCATCTAGTCCAACCCCCTGCTGTGGCAGGAAAGAGTACTGGGGTCAAATGACCCTGGCCAGATGTTCGTCCAGCCTTTTTTTAAAGACCCCCAGGCTAGGAGCCAGCACCACTTCTTTTGGAAGTTGGTTCCAGGTCCTAGCCACCCTGACTGTGAAATAGCGCTTCCTAACGTCTAGCCTGAAACTACCCTCCGCCAGCTTGTGTCCGTTGTTTCTTGTAACTCCCGGGATTGCTCGGGGGAACAGGGACTCTCCCAATGCCTGCTGGTCCCCCTTGACTAGTTTGTAGACTGTCACTAGATCCCCTCGCAGCCTTCTCTTTTGGAGCCTGAACAGGTCCAGGTCCCTCAGCCTCTCATCATAGGGCCTGTCCTGCTGACCCTTGATTATGTGGGTGGCCCTCCTTTGGACCCTCTCCATATTGGCCACATCCCTCCTGAAGTGCGGCGCCCAGAACTGGACACAGTACTCCAACTGCGGCCTGACCAGTGTCGCATAGAGGGGGAGGATCACCTCCTTGAACCTGCTTGAGATGCATCTATGGATGCACGACAAGGTAGGGTTGGCCTTCCTGACTGCATCCCCACACTGTTGGCCCATGTTCATTGTGGCATCAGTGATGACTCCAAGATCCTTGCCTGTCTCAACACTGGCGAAAAGGGAGTTCCCCAGCCTGTAGGTGTGCCGCTGGTTCTTCCTCCCCAGGTGCAGCACCTTGCACTTGTCAGTGTTGAGCCCCATCCTGTTTTCATTGGCCCACCCCTGTAACCTGTCTTGATCTGCTTGCAGCCTGTTCCTTCCTACTAGCGTACCCACTTCACCCCAAATCTTAGTGTCACCTGCGAACTTGTAAAGGGTGCTTTCTACCCCCCTGCCCAAGTCACTGATGAAGATGTTGAATAGTGCGGGTCCGAGGACTGAGCCCTGGGGAACCCCGCTGCCCACATCCCTCCAGGTCGAATAAGAACCATCCACCACCACCCTCTGGGTGCGGCCCTCCAGCCAGTTAGTGACCCATCTGACTGTGTAGGCATCAACGCCACTGTCTCCTAGTTTTTTACTGAGAATGGGGTGAGAGACCATGTCGAAGGCCTTCCTGAAGTCCAGAAAGACTATATCCACTGTGACACCTGCATCCAGGGACTTGGTGACCTGGTCATAGAAGGTCACCAGGTTGGTTTGACAAGACTTGCCCCTAATGAACCCCTGCTGGTTGCCCCTGAGCATAACCTCCCCTGCTGGCCCTTCCTGGACATGTGCCAGGATAATTCTTTCAAAAAGCTTCCCCAGGACCGAGGTAAGACTCACAGGCCTATAGTTTCCTGGGTCCTCCTTCCTCCCTTTTTTGAAGATGGGGACCACATTGGCCATTTTCCAGTCCTCCAGCACATCGCCCAAGCACCATGGGTGCTCGTAGAGCTGTGCCAGAGGTCCCGCAATGACCCCTGCTACTTCCTTCAGCACTCTGGGGTGGAGATCATCAGGACCTGCGGATTTAAATACATCTAGTCCCTCCAGAAGTTCCCTGACGAGGTCCTCATTAACCCTAGGCCTGGGTGTGCCACCCACAGGGCCCTCAGGGGGGCCAGTGGGGGAGATATCCGGGTCCCTCCTCAGAAATACCAAGGCAAAGAAATTGTTGAATATGTCAGCTTTACCGTCAGGGGAGTTTGTTTCATGGCTTGGGGGCACTTCATGCTGGCTTGCTTGCTCTTGCTACTTGAATTAAATGGCCCTTCCCAAGGTGGCAGTTTTTTCAGTTCCTAAATCTTCATTTCATTCATCCCCAGTGTACATAGCTCTTAATCTAAGTGTCAACTAGAATAGGGTCTACAGGGGTCTGTCAGATGGAAGGAAAGACTCCTCGTGTTTGTTTTTTCATGTATCTGTACACACCAGCCACCGGTTTTGGGAGCACACCCTGCAGTGCTCATGCTAACAGGGGTATGTAGCGGTGTGGACTAAGCACTACATGTTGCACTGGAGGTAGTTCATTCTGTTCACTTGGCTCTGGTGTGTATCAGAAGATCACACACTGGAATCTAATCAGTATAAAGAAATCCCCTCCTCCTCTCTCTGCCCCTCACTTGGGTCAGCCCAGGTGACCCCTCTTTCCTTGCTTTCTTCCTGGTTCAGGCTGGTCAATCAGGTGACCTGGCCAGAAAAAATTCCTGTGGGGGTGAACTCTCTCTTTCTTCCAGCTGGCAGCTTGAGTTGCTTGCCTGAAGTTTTCAGGCTGCTAGGTGGTGATTTTTCTGTAAGTAAAAACCTGGAAACTTGCCAGGAGTTAGGAATGATGTCTAGGCCAGTTGTGTTTTAAGAGGGTCACTATACCCAGACTTTGTAAGACTCAAGTTGCTTTTGTTTGCTCAAAGTGTATTCTGACTTCCTCATTCTACCCTCCCGCCTCCCCCTACCAATACAGGTGTTGGGTTACAGCTTGCCTTGCTGTGCTACTATGGAGAGACAGGGGGAGGCCTTCTGCTCTCAGCTTAGCCAGCAAAGTTTGTTATTTTATTTTCCCTGCAGTTCTACCTGATGCTATCTTGGGATGCTTCAGGCTGAAAGAAGCACCCAGAAATATTACTGTGGGGAAAAGCACTCTCAAGGTTCACAGGGTCTGTGTGCCCTGGGCTGCACAGAGCCCTACCAAAGACCAGTGCCCGGGTGGGGCAGCATTACCCCAGGCTCGTGGGTGTTCTCCAGGATGTGGGACAGGCTCCTCGAGGGAGATTCCCCATGTGAGGTTTCTGGACCTGGCACAGTGAGGCAGGTGGCTCTGCATGGTAGCGCCCCCTACTGTGCTGCCACAAGCAGAATATGGGAGAGCTTTTTAAAATAAAATCAAAGCTTTGTTGCCAGTATTCAAACACTAAAAAAATGTTAGCCAAAACCTTAGCTACTTTGATTTTAACATGTTGCTGGACTGCCTCCTGGGAGATGTATTTTCATTGTCTTGAGTTTCCATTTTGTTTTGCAAGCCAGGTTTCCACTTCAGGCTGCATCCCTCATAATGCATCATGATCTCTACTCTTGGAGAGAGATGGCAGGGCACCAGGGAAGTCTCTCATTGTGGTGCATTATGGGAACTATAAACCAACTGGGGAACCTGGCCTATAAAAGAGCAGGAGGACAAGTCAACATTTTCTGTAGAAATCCGATGATTTTTTGAGGGGGGCAAGTATGGGGAGTAGAATTGTTTGGCTGGAAACCCAGTTTTCTGGCAAAAAAATCACTCTCATCTGGCCATCCCTACTTTCATTTCCCTTTACAGGTCAGAATCCAGCATAAACCAAAACAAAGAAGGTTATTACTACTGATTGTGTGATCCAATTTCATGCTTTTAGCCTGATTATAGATACATTTGCCAAAAGTAAATAATACATTTTGATTTCTTCTTCTTAGTATTTTTGATGTCAGGTTTTTAAGCCATCCTCATGATTGAAAATAAAATATTGTGATTCAGTTCCACAAAGCTGGGGTTGGCAATCCTGCATTCCAAGACTGACAGGCATTAGTTGCCTGGCTCTGCATTCAGACTGAAGGTGAAATGGGCTATATGTTCCCGCTGGCCTGTTCTTTCCTCACCCAGCCCCACAGAGGAGAATTCTGTCTTAAATCAATCAACAAACCACATGTCAGGAAAACCTCTAAATCCTAGCATACATGTTGCATCTGTCCACCAGAGTCTTCTCCTTCCATGAATTCCTTCCCCGGCTGGAGTGTAATGCAAGTTTTCATTGCAATTATTTGCATTGGATTGGTAGAATGCAGGCTCAGACACCCGGTTTACTTATCTTTTGATATCACTGGCACAGAACAGAAGCTTTCTTTCTATGGCTGCATATAGAACAAGCTCAGCGCTGTTCAGCTACCAGGGGACAGAGGGGATATTTATGTAGATGAAAACAAATCTCTGGAAATGGGGGTTTTCATCTTATGGAACAGCTGGTGTTTGCAAACTCTGTTGTGATCTCCATTGAGATAGCACCTGGAAACCATTTTCTGGTTATGTTCTCAGTTTCAGTGTAATCCCTTGTGGGGGGTAATGATATTGTCTAAGTCAGGTGGATGTATAATAACTGGCAATTAGCTCTCATAATGCCATAATTGTGTAATTTTATTCTCCACTGTTGAGAAAAGCAGTCAGGAGAGAGAAATTGAGTTTTGTTTGTAGGGCCTTGATAAGTCATGATGAGTTGAGTTGTCATATTCTGGGAAAATTAACATTATGAGCCATATGGGATGTCCTGCTATGGGGCCTGCTCAGAGCAGTATGTTTCATATGAGGAGAATATAGCCAG